TGAAATTACAGACAGGAGCAACAGTTTTCAGAGTCAGTGGTCTGTAAACCTTGCTTGATGGGGTTACCCCATGGGAGAATCATTCCTCTGGTGGGTTAACCTCTGAATTATAAATTTGCGTATTTGCATCATGGCCCATAATAGCTCGTAACAACATAGTGAGACTGTGTTTTCAAAAACCACAAACAAAACAAACTAATAAGGGCTGGGGAAACAAAGGCCTAAGTCATAGCCCCAGAATCCATGTGAAAAAGCTATGTGTGAAAGCATGGGCTTGTGCTCTTAGCACTGGGGAGGCAGACGTGTCAATCCCTGGGGCTCCATAGCCAGACAACCTCGCCTGCTTAGTGAGAGCAAGGCAAATGTGAGACTTTCTCAAAAAAAGGGGGAGGGATTGAAAAATAACAGTGAAGATTGTCCTCAGCCTTCACTTGTACGTACTCACAATGCGCATGTACCATACATGTACCTGTGTACACACAAACCCATATACACACACACACACACACAAACACACACACACACACACACTCACCTGTACATATGCAAAGAGAGAGAAACTAAGGGCTGAACATGCTTCTTGAAATGAGTGATGGAGAACAATCAGAGGAAGGAAGCCAGAGAGAAGCTCAAGGACCAGCCTGCTCCTCCCAGAAGCCACACATTGTGGCTCTAGGGAAGCTGGTCCCTATCACTCCATGGCTTAATAAAAGTAAAATAAAACACAGGCCTCTAGACTGTAAAAATATTTTTCTTAGTTAAATTGAATTGATTGCTTGTTTTATTCCTTCATGCTTTTCCAACCACCCTCAAGTATTTTGACGCAAGCACAGTACACCAGATCATTCCACCTGCACACACAGCTAACTTGAACTTTGCAATCAAAGCCTGCTGCTCTCACCTACATCGTTGTTTTGTTTTGTTTTTTCTCCCCTCAACCCCCAAGCTTACTGCAATGACAGCGTCTTTGCTAATGAAGAACTAAGGCTGGACACCTTTAAGGACTGGCCCCTTGAGTCCCCTGTGGCTGTTGAAGCTCTGGTCAGAGCAGGCCTTTTCTACACAGGTGAGTCAGTCGTTTGTGTCCACCAGATGTGCTTGTCCAGGTCTTACATTTGTCTCCACTCAGCAGTCTCTGCTCTCCATCATTCCTCATAGATCCCTTTGCTGCCTCATAAGACCTTCAGTTTCTCACAATTCCCTTGGTGCTCAGCCTCCAAACTTGAACCTGAGGTCTGGGCTGATGGTGAGCGCAGTCGTCCATTTGGAATAATTATCATGTCTTTTTGTCTACACCTTTCTTTCCCTTGTATCTTACCCCTAACACCCCAGGAGATTCCAGAAACTGGCACAAGACAATTGTGCTCATATTTCTTTCTCTTATGTGTGTTTGTGAGTGTGGTGTGTGTCCATGTGGGTGCAGGTGGCTAGAGGACAGCAGAAGGAATTGACTAGCCTGCTCTATTCCCTTCTGCCTTATTCTCTTGAGACAGGCTGTCTCACTGAATGAAGAGTCAGGCGGTAGCCAGCCAGACCCATGATCTTGCTGTTTCTGCACTGGGGTAACGGGTGTGTGGTTGGCCTCATCTAGCTTTTCATGTACATGCCAAGATTTGAACTCAGGTTCTTGTGTTGACACAGCAGGCCCTCTTACCCAGTGAGCCATCTCTCTGGCTCCCTTATATTTCTTTCACCAGAACTTAGATGGCCATACCTACTTTTGAGAGTTGCTGAGAAATCCAATGTTTTCCATGGGTGACACTATGCCCTGTTAAGAATTGAAGTTTCTAGGGTCTGGCTAGTTAGCAAAGTGCTTGCTGTGTGAGCATAAAGACCTGAATTTACATTCCCAGTACCTATGTGAAAAGCCAAGTGTGAGGGGACATGCCTG